GAAATATTGCTTACATCGTACATTAGGTGCATAAACTACATAATAATCGTCTATTTTGTGTATATCTTCTCTTCGCTGATAATCACTTATCGAGTATGTAAATCGATCTGGCCATCTAGCCACGATTTCGCGAAACATACCGAAAACACTCACAAAATCATGAAATATTTCTCGAAGTGCGAAAGTTTCGAGTCTGAAATGTTTCCGAGTGAAAATCGCAAGAGGAAAAATTTCATACCAGTAACCCTGATTATTATTATTATTATTATAATTATTATCGTTGCATGTTATCCGTACACTCGGTCGAGCACGTATTGTCGTACGTAAAAACGACATGTGACTGCCGTTTTGATATTCATTACGCGTGACTCCCGTCCGCGCGTCGTACTTAACGATCAACAGGCGACGCGCATAAATCCGGTCGCCGGTGTAATGCCATTTCGCCGTGTCGAGAATTTGCAAAACGGCTTAATGATGACGTCGGTTTAATTTCGGGACGATCGTATAATAACGTTGAACGCGAATTAATTTAATCGCTAGGCAAATTGACTTTGTTTTTTTTCTCTCTCTCTTTCCGGCCGCATTGTAATTTTTGTCCGGGCTTCGGCACTGATCCTCACCTTCCCCACCCCCAACCGCCGGTTACCAGTGTTAATCAACTAATTAATTAATCGTGTACGACTGCGGAAATCGTTAAAAATTTGTTGAACCACTTACGATATTGTATTGTATCATAACAATAATAACAATGTAATATACCTAATAATAATGCGGTTCACCGTCTATCCATAACTTTGAGTTCAAAAGTCTTAAATCTCCTCAATACTCGCAGGCACCCGTTGGGATATGAAAAGTTTTTGTTCGATAACAAAATATTTTTTTCATCTGCGTTTCAATATTACAATATGTAGGTACCTAATAGCATATTTAGTTACAGAATTTATTTTTACCGTTTTGAACTTCACTGCTCAACAATTATTTTAAAATGTTTTTTTTTTCTTCCATACGAATACTTTTTGCCTTCTTAGACATAAATATTATTAAAAAGTAAATAATAAATAACCTAATAACTGCAGCAGATGTGCAGTATTCGCCTTATTGTACTATTATACGTCTTTTATTATTAGGTATGGTTGAATACGTTTGTTCGCGATCTCACGTCGATTACATTATATACACTTTCAGAGATAAATATAACTATTGTAAAGCTTAGAAAGAAATAATAGCAAAAACGATGGAGTAATTCGAAACACCACAATGCACGTATTTTAACAAATATAGTCGAACTCAAGTTTTAAAACATGTCGGCATTCGTTCCGACAATGTAATATTACCTATTATACAATAAAAAGAGACGACAACAATATGAACATGATAATTTATTACAATATCCTGGGACAGTGAATATAGTCAAATTGAAGCGATAAATACAATCACCAATGAAGAATGTCATCGTTCGTTTATTTCCTGTATACAATGTGAATATTATCGTCACTATCATAAATTATATTTATTTGTGTAAATCAAAGTACCTACGTACAACCACCTACACACACATATATATATATATATATATGCAAAGGATGCACATATATTATTATTATGTTTCTAATTGTATACGCATTGTATAACACATTATAATATCAGTTGTGAAACAATCGCATTGCCCTTATCGATATTATGCTATATATTATATTTGGTTCCATATAAATTGCTATGTAGGTATATATGCTAAAATATAAGTTCGTCATGAGGTACCTATGTAAAAATAGATGAATATTAGATTATCCCGTTAAATTCGGTAGACACTATATATTTGTGTACTATCAACTTTAACTTATAAACAACTATAGTTATAAAGTTATGACTTATGAGTTATGACTAATAGCATGTGAGTATATACAGTTTCAAATGTTGGAATAAGTTATTATATAGGAAGGTACCAGCTATAAAAATAGACTAGAAACTAGCGGTATATTTTAGAAAAAAATTATTTTCCCAACAATGAGACAATGAAAAAAAGGAATAGAGTTTATAATATTCGTTTACAAGGCTTAGTATATTAGGTATTTGCTTATGTATATTTTGTATTTAAAATATCCGTATTTTGAATGCTGTGTTAAATGTAATCACCTCATCGATATTGAACAGTTATAAACAACATTAGTTAATATTAAGCCACAATACAACCGTCACTTTACACACAATGTGAAATATTAATTTTACTTTGTTTCTTTCAAATATTTATATACTTATTTTTTTGCACATCGAAGTTGACTTACAAGTTGAATACTATAAAATATAATGGCATATGAATTTGACCAGGGTTAGTTTTACTAATGACCAATAACTAAATAATTGATTTTCACAGTTAAAAGTTAACAAACATTTCTGTTTGTATATTTACTACATTGAAGGTTTTAATTTTTCTTCAATATTCCGTTTGCACCCTCTTATAAATACCTTTTGTTTTTCAAATTTGAGTAAAAAAAACTGAACAACTCTTTTTTGAAGCATTTTATCTTATTCAGTTTTTTTTATTTTAGAAAAACCATGTATAGTATATTAGTATGTATTACTAATGTTTGTTATGTGTATATTTTACACATGCTACACGACAAACACGCATTAAAGTAAATCGATCATAAATAACTTTGTAAAGTGATTTTAGAGTTGAAATACCTTTTAGAAAAATTAAACACTATATACAATCTTCAAGTTTGTCTAAAAGTCCTTTCTCTGAATACTTTTGGTCATTGAAAAAGTGTAGTTACTTAATGTTATTGAAAAATTATATTTCAAGATTTAAAAAACAAAGGGTACCTACCTATTTAATATTTTATTAGACATCACCAATCGACTAGTTTGTAATGTATTGATGTAGACGTATAGTTTTCACTAAAAATAGGTAATTACTTCTAAAGTAGTTGAGTTTTAGAGAGTAAAAATTCTTCACAAATATTATAATTTATAAACATTATTCACATGGTTTTAACATAGGTAGGTACTATCATAGTGACATGTGTGAATCCTGCTAATTTTTGAAAAATGAATACATTTATTTGTTTATTTATTTTATTAATGGTATGGCTGATGGCCTGATGGTTATTTATAGTCTTAAACAATTAATTGAATATAGAAATCTGATATCTGCATAGATTACCTCACCATAATATTTACACATAACACTTAAAGAACGATGCCTTATATTATCTATTATTGCCTTAGTCACAACCTAACCTAGCCGTTGATCGTTTTTTTTCATGCTATGATTGATGATCTAAATGTATTCTTATTTCTAAGTATGTTTTTTCACACCGTGAGTGTTCTCTACTGATCCATAGCCCATAGGTCTTGTTTTTGTGAGATGTCTCCGCTATGATTAGTTATGAAACTGTACCTGCGTATGCAGGTTAGACAAGTTCGTCGTTTAGACCTAGTTTCCGTTTCAAAACAACTAGTGTTACTCTCCCCTAGGACCTAAAAAGTAAAAAACTCCAGATCTTAGGCACTCATCGACGACTGCAAATTTCAGTCGTTCGAACCAGACCTAACCATAACCTAACCAGAAAAAGAGGAATATAGAAAACCGTAAGTCATTGATACCTAGTTGAAAGAGAGTAAATAATTAGACTTAGTTTCCTTAAATACATAAAGTTCTTAAAATAACTTGATACGCTTTTTCAATTTATGACTCTTAAAAATATATTTTCATCAATATTTTTTATTAAATTATTATAAAAAATATTAAGGTCAATGAGAATACAAATAATCTAAGACCAATTTAAAAAGTTACTTGCGTGAGTCGTCGTTAAACTAAAGTAATTTTGGAGTTAATTTTATTTATTTATTTTTTGAATGATAACCAATTTGCCATAATACTTATGTATCTTGCAATGTATTGCTATATTATGAACTCAGTTTAAATGAATCAGCACTAAATGCATTACTATTTAGTATTGAATAAGTTTTTTTTTTTGCTTTCGAAATGTAAATATTCTTGAAAGTATTGTATAAATATAATTTGTTTTCATTCAAATCTTGCTGGAAGTAAAACGCATAATTTTCTACCTGTTTTTAGTTGTATATAAAACATTTTTTTTTAAATTCCCATTCAAAATTTTCAAGAACCTAATTCCCGATGTGAAATATAAATATACCATATTTCGACGAAATGAATAGATGCAATACACGTATTGTATACAAATCATAAACAAACGCTGTAAATTATGCTTATACAATATAATATGCATATAAAAAGTAAATTGGACCTTTATGAAACTGTAGTATCCTACTACAATACAATATTATTATACGTATTACACTTTTAAAAAATTGTACTCACAAATAGTTTTTATCGATATTACCAAGTTTCAAGATTAAATTCAGAGTTGTTTGAGATTAAAAAAAAACCCCTCCATCAATCATTTAAATTACTTTGGTACCTATTTATTTCATAAAACTTTAAAATAAAAACTCATTTCCAATCAATGAAATTTGACACTAAAAATATTTATTTTGTAAACGATTGCTCCAAACATATATTATTATACCTAAGTGTTGTAGTTGTATGTATATAAAACTCAAAAAATGTTTTTAACTTTTAAGTAGGCTTTTTTGTAATCTTAAGTCGTTATTAAAACATATATTTTAAAAAGTTACCGTCATAAGACGTTTTGAATTATTGCGAATAGTATATTTACGTTGTAACGGTTAATAATTAATAAATAAACTAACTAACTTTTTTTTTCTTTTTGTGAATAATAAACCTCAGAAAAACTTAAATAATAAATACAATAAAAATAGTAGTGTTTATAGTTATCAAAAATAAATATAATATTATTGTATACCAATAAAACCAATATAATAGGTATTTGAACTAATTGAAAAATGATTTTTCTTCTAATTTTAATGATTTAATTAACTTATAGAGGGGGTTTTAAAATTACTAAGATCGTTCTAGATTTAAAGTTAGACGTACGATAGTTTATTTTTTTTACCTAGATCCCAATCTCTTCCTTTTTCATGGCGTTCGCTTTCGGCTATCACATACCATATGCACGCAAACCAATGTGCAACTAATGTGAATAGGAGCATCAAAAGTGTGAGAATCATGCCGCCGTACTGCGAATACCTGTCGATCTTCTGCAACAGTCTCGCTAACCTCAGCAGTCTGGTCAGCTTTAACAAATGAACTTGTCCCGAACCGGCTTCCTGGAAAAGAAAAATGGAGACAGACGTTGATAAAATTGTTAACTAATTAAAACATACAGTCAAAGCGCAACGACATTTTGTTCACTGGTAGGGTTCTCTGCGAAGAAGATAAACTAATAATTTTAAGTGGTACGATAATGGAATCTACATTATCCTATTACTTCAAATTAGTAGGTAGGTAAGTGTGTACCTCCGTCTTCAGCCTGGTGGACACCATTAGATACTTTTGTATAATAATAATATTATATCCATGTGTAATGAAGGCAATCCATAATTTACACGACATTTCGTAACTACATTCGTTTAAATAAGTCATTGTATTAAAATACTATATAGTTATCAGAAAAATAAAGTGTACGTTGTAATACAATAAACGTCTGAATTTGTATCACAACAAGAAAAAGAAATACTCATAATATCATAAAGCACCTATACGGAGCAATATTGGTAAGTATTTGATATTTTGGTGAGTACCTATTTTTTGATATTGGCTTCTATGAATCAGTGTCAAATACTAATAAATTGACACTCTTTAATATTAGCTAGAATGAGAAAGTAGATGGAGCTATCACGTTTAAAAAATCTTAATACAAATAACTGTAACTTTGCACTGATTAGTGATAACTAACAAAAGAACCGATGAGCACACTGAGTTAAAACTCATTATCGGATAACATTATTTTTTGTGTTTAATGTATTTAAAGTGTACAAAACCAAAATATTTAAACATAATTAAAGTAAATGCCTACTTACACGGCATGCGCTTGTGTTTCTAAGGTATGCATGGTTATTGAAAACGGTTTAAAAAAATAAAAAAAGATATCACTACGAAATTAATTAAACAAAGGTAACAATCTACAGTTTTAATATGGTTTTAAGTGGGCATCTAAGTATGATGGCGTCAAACTTAATATTAAGAAATATATTACATATGATGTTGTTAAATATAAGTAAAATATATAATGTATCTATTTTTATGTCTACATTATGTATTTTTGTTTCATTTTTCAATAAAATATTAAAAGCGATGAACCAATAAAATATGGATAGTAAATACCTATTGTAAAACGTTTGGGTTAAAGTAGTTTAAAATTGTTTTCCATACCAATCTATTTTCATGAAATTATATTACTCTTCCACTGATAGATTAAAGCTTTCATTTTTCCCAACACTTTTTTCGATTCACTAGCCTGTGATACATAAATAACACATTCCGTCGCAGTTTTGATAGCATGTCATGCGTCATGCAGTATAGTGAAAAATAGTTTTATTTACACCATATTAAGAGCTTAACATTTTTTAAAGCTATACTCCAAAAAATAAATAACTATGCAGTGTGTTTTTTAATTATAATATTATTCAATTTGAT